TACTTTTCTATGTTTTCCAAATACCTAAAAGTTTATAATTAGAAATCTGTATACATTAAGAAAATATGTTCTCAAAGAATATTCTTATATAGGTGTGAAAATTGCAGTATGACTTTAAGAGTGCTTGTTTTTTAAGCAAATACAAGTACACAAATTTAAAAATACGTGATCATGAAACATATCTTTCAGGAACAATTTAAATGGGTCTTTTATACTCTTTGGAAATTCCTAAATTTCCAAAAATGACCCAATTTGCCTTTTCCACAGAACCCTATAACACCCCCCCACCCCCCATTTTAGGTTATTGTTCCTAACATAATTCCTGCATGGTCTCTGTTGATTGGGACAAAAAGTTCGGGCCACAGACACACGACTCTTAGGAGCCTCTTAAAAAGTCTATCCGTAACCTTAGAGAAGGTGTCTGATGCCAGCCCACCACCCCACTCTGCACTCCGCCTCGTGCCTCCCGCAAGAGCTTCACACCAAGCCCTGCTTTCCTCCGTCTCATACATCCCTGTCAGCCATCGTCTCAGATGTGTGTAGCCCCTGCTGCCATTTCTTCACCTTCCCTCTTCGATATCAACCCACTTCCTGAAGGTCACCGGTAATTTCACTGGCAAATTCAAAAGGACTTTTTCTAGAAAGACTAAGCTGCTACTCCTAACAGCAGTTATAAGTCTGTCTTCAACCATGGCTTCACGGACAAGTCAATCCTAGTCAATCTGGAATTCCAAAACACCTGTTTTCTACTCCTGTTTGTAAAGCACGAATTAGTTTTTGGAAAGCCATCACAATTCCTTCATCTCTGTCATAGTTCAATTGAATTCCTAAAATCTAAACTCTACATTGGTTTTTAAAAACTCAATGATGTAAGGAAACCCTGAGTTTATCAGCTTTAAAAAGGCTCATTTTAGTAACTAAACCACCAAGCACCATATGTTAGTATTTTTTTTATAAATAGAATCCTTCATTACAGCTTGCAGGTACAACATAGATTGCTTCATACCCCTTATGACAGTTACCTCCTTGAGGTGTTTTGTTACTGGAAACTAAAGCTTGTCCTACCGACAATTTAAATGCAATTGTACCCTGTGAGTTTTGACATTAGATACAAGAGAATTTCTAACAACTCATTCTAATAAAAAGAGAGGATCTCTTTAAGACTGTTTGTCAAAAGTGCACTTAATTATACCTTTCATCCAGCCCCCTACCCTACACTGTCCATTCTGATCCTCTTCTAGAGGTAGAATTGGTAAGAGGTCTGTAATAGCAGCTGTTTAGAAGACAGTGGTGGTCCCCACTAAAAGGCTAGAATAGAAGCCCATTTAAAAAAAAATATAAAGCTTGTCTGAATCTGTCATTTTTTTTTTTTTTAAGTAAAATCTCATACCTCCTTCCTCTCTCCCTTCAAAAAAAAAAATAGCCTACTGGCATCCCTTCCCTTCCAGGACACGACAGCCCAGCACGCCTGTAACATGGCAGTGCTGAAAGACCTGGACGAGGACCAATGCAACAGGAACTGCAGACATCTGAATTATGCTGGTGTCTCCAAATTCACAGGCTGCAGAAAGGGTTTTTAGAGCATGTTAGAGGGCAAACAGCCATGTTGTTCTACAAAGATGTCCAGATATATCTCACAGGAATAAATATGAAGGGGAGCTAGCTTACAAACTTGGTATTTGAACCATTTTCTGTTTGGCCCACTACTAGTGAACAGAACCCCAGAGCGCTGTCCTGGGTCTTCTATTCTTGCTTCTCTTCCCTTTCTTTGTGGAGGATTTTAATTGGATTTGATTTCATTTATCATCCGTGGGTGGCTCAATACCAGGTTAACAACTCTGGACCTGGTACTCCCTACCTGCTTTTTCCTGACCCACACCTGTACTATCTATGAGTGGGGCGCAGGTCGACACAACTAGTACTTGAGCAAGACTACACCTCTCACATTTCACCAGCTCCCACCCCTCTGAAGTTGAGTCTTTCCCTTGCCTGGCATCCAATTCTTCCCCTTTTAATTTATCCCTTACTTACATAGGCAACAGTCCCAATCTAGAAACATTATCATCTTATAGCTGAAATAACTTCAACAACTTGTTTCCTTCCCTCAACTTCCCTTCTTACCTCACAACCCATAAACCACTAGTTTCAGTATGTCCTCAAGTCAGTGCCAAATACCACTGTTTGGGTGTCATCTGGATCATGTCAATGATCTTATTAGAATTCTTCAGGGGTGACTGTTCACGTGAGACTTCCAACCGTGGACTTCAGTCTGCCCTGCCAAATCATCTCTTCTTGCACTTTGCTATTTCCACCTAACTGGTTTCATTATTTGCTGTGCTGGGGCCCACATTCTCTTTTCTGATTATTTTCTCCTTCAACCTCTGCTTATAAAATGCAGCTTATGTCGCAGTTGATGGGAAACGGGACTGAATGCTGCACGATCGTCTTTTTTTTAAAGCCTGAAGCATCCCGCCAGCTCTCACTCTTGGATTCCTTTATTAGATCACTGCCTCAGGCCAGAGAGGCAAGAAACGTCAGGGGCTGTGGCAGGGAAGGCGGTTCTTGCACAAAGTGCACCACGCTTCCCTTTTTGCCTCACTTCGTACTGAACAAGTCATTTCCCTTGCTCAGAACTACCACCTCCAAAATACCGCTTAAGACATCCTCAGTGCAGTTTACCCCAGTACAGTCGTCCCTTGGTACACGAGGGGGATCGGTTCCAGGACCCCCATACCCTCATCGGTGCATACTCAGGTCCTGCAGTCGGCCCTACATAGATGCAGATTTCAGGTTTTACACCCCAATAATACCGTATCATCCATCTGCATCTTGTTGGAAAAAATTCACATATAAGTGAATGCATTTCAAACTCATGTCGTTCAAGGGTCAACTGTGATCCCAACTAACTCTACTCATTCCATTCTGTTAGTTCCACTGTCTTTTCTAAACATGTATCTCCTGTATGTGTTTCCGTCTGCATCCACAGTTAGAATACCCTCACCGCAGCCCACTGCTCTCAGCGTCTGGGTGAGGATGCCGACTCTGTGTACACAGGAGATGCTCGATGCAAAACAGGGAGGCCATGCAACAAAATTGGTGCACACAGCGGGCACGCAATACTTCTATTTATGACAACTAGAGAGTGGTCTATGTACAGAGGGCATTTGAACTTTAAAATGCCTAGCATTTACAGGCTTATTTTAAAAATCAACTGATATTACATTATCTACATCAGTGGCATTCTTAAGGACCAGAAGCATAATTTAAATCATCTTTTCAACTCTTTCAAGTACCCTCCTCCAAGGGTACTCCAAGATTTAATAATGGGGTCTATGTTAATGCCATTCAGATGGAAAGTCTTACTTGCTAAATTCTGACACTCTCCTATGCATTCATTATGATTATGCTCAGATATATGTGAGCATTCTGAAAATCGAGACCTTTAAAGTTCATTTCATGAAGATTAGCCGCAAACGGCAGGTATCAAAAGAAGTGCCCATTAGTGGGAGTCCTGCGCTCTGTGGCTCTGTGGGTGTTGCACGCAGTGCGGCTTATGTATACGAGTCTTCCCTGTGACATTATCAAAATCTTCTGGAGGCAGAAACTACATCTCAGATATTCATTTCTCTCATGGAAGTGAGTACCTAATAGGCACTCAAGAAATAACTTAGATTAAATGTATATTTTTTAAAAAGACTCATCTATTAAAACAGTGGTTTTTATCCTTTGGTGTATCATGGGTACCTTAAAAAATCTGATAGAATGCACATACTGAGCATCTGTCTACCCAGCTGAAGTCCACTTATCAGGGTGGCTTTTCAACCCAAGTTAACAAACTGCTCCAAACGCTCACACTTGGAGACGTCTCCTGCCTATCTTCATTCTCAGGACCTGGACTCTTACACCAGGTTTCAAATCAGTCTACCTGCCTCTTCTTCAGATTACTACCAGAGTTCTCCTTTCTAACATCCTAATCAAATCCTGTGACTTCACTACTTAGACTCACTAGAACAAACCGAGCCCTTTCAGGCTGTGGGTGAGGCCTGTCGTGCACCGCTGCCTTCTTCCTGCGCTTCCAGCCTCGCCTGCTCCTGGGGTACTGCCCTCTGCACACGAAAGGCTCATGGCCTCCCCAGAACCTCCCGTCTGCCCACCACCTTTTCATTCTTTATGTCACAAGATGAGAGAGTCCCTTTCTGAGAAGCCTTCCTAGGTTTCCTCAAGCAGTAAAGAACACCTTCCTCCACTTGCATAGCTCTGTCAAAGCACTGAGGTTACATTTTAATTGTGTTTTCCTGACTATCTCCTGAGCCATGGGCCTTTTCATTTTTCTGTTTTCAGGCCCAGTACAGTGTAGGTGCATAAGAAATACTTGTTGACAGAATGAACTGATACCGCACAGCAAAACCGTCACATAAAACCACAAGGATCCCTGGAGATAGAGCTCTGAAGAGTCCCTAAAAGGCTAAAATGCATCCATATCCTGCGTCTCTTTCCCCTTGCAGAGTGTCGTCTGAGGACTGGAAAAGCCAAGGAACTTGTAACAGTGCATACCTTTTCTAAAGGCTCTCACCTCATCAGTTTGTATCTGGAAACAAAGGCTTTGCCGCAGTCAGGCTGCTCGCATTTGTGCGGCCGCTCCTTGGAGTGGGAATAATTGTGGATAGTGAGCTTCCCCAGGGTGAGGAACGTCTTGCCACAAATCTGACAGGAGAACGCGGCCATGGGTTTTGCTTCTCACACTTTCCTTTTTAGATGTACTGATCAAATGCTATGCCACCTAAGCACGCGTGGCAGGATGGGGCCGGGCAGAGCAGCAGAGTCACCGCAACTGAGCTCCAGACCACGGCAGAGGCAGCGTCGTGGGCCTGGTTCTACCCAGACACGGACCACTCAGTGACCGTTCGCTTTGCTTCCTGCTTTCCCACACCCCCGTTTATATGCAGTCTCAAGCTGAGGGGAGAAAGTCTGAGGCACCGTCAAGATTCACGGGCAGAAAGGTACTTTGTGTCACTGGAGCTGGGGCGGGGCTGGGATCACCAGATTGTCTGTGGAGAGAAGAGGAACAGTTTTCCTGCATTAGCCATTTGAGAACAATGCTTTTCCTCCCCTACCACTTCAGAATCAACTCCCTAGAATCAACATGTTCCTTTAAATAGATTTAAGAGAGCATAATTTTCCACCCAACCCATGTGCTTCAAGTTCCTTCTGCATATAATCCCACCCATCGGTGCTTCTCCTGAGTGTCAGGGGTCCAGCAGGGTTCCGCCAGCCGACAAAGCACCCTGCTTTGTGATAAGGACAGCTCTTTCCACAGATTCAGAATTATCTACTTCAAAACATGATTTCAGGTCAGTGTGAGGCTCAGTGAACCAATTAAAACAAAAAAAGCAAAAACACTCCTGCATGTTCGAGTGTTTCACTGGTACATAAACAAAAATCAGCCCTGCTTATTCAAACCACTGGCTTTTCCTCTCCACTCTTTGTTAGCATAACATAAGTTGTTTATGACACCTGTTTAAACTTCCAGAGGATGAGAAGAAATAATTTGTATACATCTAAGTGAATTTGTTTGTAAGATTACTATGCAGAAGGACTGATACAAACAAAAGGGGAGTAAAGCTAGTCTAGTTGCACCGAGGTGGTGAGAGGAAAAATATTCCCATGGAACAAAACCCAGGGCTCAGGTAAAAGCTCTGGCCATATTCATGTCTGTAGGCACCAGCCTCTAGTGAACTGTTCTACTAATCTCTTCCCCTTTTGTTTATGGAGACATGCTCTCATTCCCCAGCCCCGCCCCGGAGGGCCAATCCCAATACCTGTCGGTAGCTCACTTGCAGGGGGTGAGCCCGTGGCCTCGGCAAACTCAACTTGTCTCAAACCCAAATCATTATCACCCTTCAACCCAGCAGAGTCACCTAAAACCAGGTGGTTCTTTTTCTATCAATGGACCAGCATTTGAGGAACCTTAAGTGCCTGCGGCAGCATCATGAACAACAGGCAAAACCCCGGCTCACTAGAACCCTGTGCTAATATAGAGAGAGTAATTCTCCTGGGCGGATGCTAACCTTTCAAGTGCCAATACTTAAAAATAATTAGAGTACTACATGGTTACATGAAATACACTTGAGTCGCTTTTGTACGCAGGCCAGCCTTTTCTGAACTTTGCCAAGTAAGCAGGGCACTCGTGGTACTGCCCAGTCCTGGCAAGTCTTTAAAGCTGTTCCCTGCACTCACTCACTTATCGCCAAGTCTTTAGAGTTGCTCTTCTTCGTTAAAAGTTAATTTTTAGTTACCTTTTCAGTTACTTTCAGATCAGAAAGTTGGAGTCTAGCTAGATTAAACTTTACTGTAATAATAGTTCAAGCATCTTTAGATATACCAGTGAACAGCACATGTACACAAACACACATTCCTTTGCTACCTGGCAAGAATTGCAGGAAACTTGTAGAGCGCCCCATCTCCTGTCGCAGGTGTTTTCAGTGTCTGGTCAGAGTTCACAGCACCAGCCAAATACCCCTCACCATCCTACCCCACCCTCTTAGAGCCTTTAGAGCCGACTTAAGTGCTTTGGCCTGAAGGATCAGCACGAATCCAAAGCAGGGGACACACAGCTGTCCTTAGCCAGCACACCCTGGCACCAAACCTTCTTTCTGTTGGTTCTGATCTTAGCAGCAAGCACCACCTCATTCCTCTGCAACCAAGTATGACTTTAACTGGGCACCTCCTGGCTCTGCCCAAACCCCGCTACCCCCACCCCCGTTACCTTCCAGATTTCCAGCTCATGCCTAAGGCCCTACCTTGATGCACCCCCAACAACCCTGGCCACAAACAAAATAATACCTTCTAGGAATTCTCTCCTGCCTGCCGAGTTTGTGCTGCCAGGCCTCATGACCTGCCTCACTTCTCATCCAGCCTAAGTCTGGCCATAACACGGGCCCAGCTATAAAACGCACTCATTCACTTGCCATTGTTCCGTGTTCTTTCCAGGTCTTATTCTTTCCAACTCTTGCTTTATGAGATGACCAATATGTTCAACAGAACTTTTTGTGAGGATCATGTTATATATATGATGGCTACTGAACACCATTGGAACGTACGTGTGCCCCTGAGAAACCGAAGCTTTTATTTTATTTAACTTTAATTTACATTGAAATAGCCACATCTAGCTAGTGGCTGCTGTGTGGAACGGCACGGGCAGACTCCTAGTTTCTCTGTCAAAAGAGATGAAGGCAAGGCTATGCTTTCCTTGGACACAAATGTGCTGCTGATTCATCCTCAGGTGTTTTCCCTGCAGCGTGGGAGGAATGTACATAGGTCCAGTCCCTGGTTCTATGAATACAGTGGAAAGATTCCGCAGTTCAAATTCTAGCTTACCCACGTCAGCTACCTCCTGAGCTTCAGTTTCCCTGTCCATGATGTTCGCCTGATGTATGTAAACAGGCTGGTGAGGACAATCAACGGAAACAAAATAGATCTGAAAGCACACTGTAATCTAAAAAACACCATGGGAATGTATGGAAATTATGGAACACTGGGGTAAAATAGAACCATGTCTCGATGTACAGCTAATGGTTTCTAACCATTTAGCTATAGACAGAATGGGGAGCAGATACACATTCCCTCTCTCTCTCTCTCTCTCTCTCTCTCTATATATATATATATATACACTTTATCAATTATTCATACTGCAGACAACACACGTGCAGAAAGGACATAAGAGGCAGCAGGTAGGAAGCCTGTATTCTTGGTTTCTCAGCAGATATAAACCTTGACTGATTGCTTACCAACACACACTAATTGAAGAAAATAAGACTTATTCAATTAAGAAAAAAGTGCCCTTTGGCACTGATGAAGTTTTCTAGATCCACTTTCCAGCCACTTCCTCCCTAGATCCAAAAGTCCAGCACCCATGGACACCATCCATACCTACATTTCCCTTGGGCCTTCAAGACGGTGGGATAATCAGAGAGTTTCAGGCACAGCATGTTTCTATTTAAGAGTGAGGCACATTTCCTCCAAGTTCCCAAAACTTTCCCTCAAAGACCAAAAAATAATATTAAGTCTCTCAAACACTTTATACTTATTTATTTCATGAATGTCTACTTCCAGGACTTTTAGATCTGTGTGTTAAATACACCTAGGCCTAACACTAAGTGAAAAATAGGTCCTCAGATATTGAGCTGAATTATTATACGACAGTGAACATTCTTTAATTTCTTCAGGAAGTCTTTAATGATGAACTCAACTTCAGCAAACAGTTATAATATTTCAATCACCATAATTGTGTTACTTAAATATGGACCTTAGAATATAAATATTTGCACTGCTTTCATGACAGAATCATAAAACTTCCATAAAAATAAAATTCTTTCCTAACAGACTGTAAAAGTTGTGGCCGAGGGTCAAAACTTAGCTATTTAAAAAAAACCGCGTGGATATATACAGTCTCTCTCGTCGCCATGCACTTGATGGACACGGCTATATACTGATGATTCCGATCTTTGGTTGAAACCTGATGCACTTTCTGGTCACATCCTTAAAGCAGACTTACAATTACTTTCTGTTACCCGGCAAACCACAGCAGCTCTAATGGAGACCTGACAAAGTTCTGGTCCTGGTGAGAGTCAGGCTGCCTTTAACTTACCATATAGATTGCGTGTGTGTCTTAAACATGGTACTATTTCAACACCTGTCACCCTGGAAAGATGGTAAGTCTTATCCCAAAACATCTCAGGACATAATTTTCAGTCCTCTTGACTCTAAAAATACTGAGTGAGTGATACGGATCTGCCAGTATGCCAAAGAAGGCTTGTGCCATCCGCTTCATTCTGCTCATGCTGATTGTTTTGGGGACAAGAGAGGATCAGACTGGAATAAGAACATATATGGCAACAGCCAGGAAAGACTGGGGACTGGGGGTATACGATGGTGGTGGCGGGAGGTCAGAACTCAAGTGTAGTTCCAGGACTTCCCCGATGCTGCATAACACAGCCATAACTGTTTTACGACATTCTCAAAATAAACTATGACGTTGGGCTTCTGCTTCCATTGTCCCCAGTGACACAATGCAAGGTCCACTTCTGAGAGGAAATTGAATTTCCACGTTTGGTCTTCCAACATGGATGGCTTTTCCCAATGTCAGTTCTTCGAAGGACATTGGTAGTGAATCTATCATCAAATTAAACTACTCAGAAACGACAGCAGGAGAAAGATGACACCCAGAACCTCCAGGTAGTTGTCACTGCTTACTTTTTATTATGTGCACATGTTACAAAATTTGCTAGCTATTGTGTCCAAGTGAGGGCAATTTCAGAAGAGTTGGGTCTCACTCTAGGTCTTTAAGAAAAGGTGCTCACGGTGCTGCACTAACGTGGTTGACGATCACAGCCGGGAGGCTCTGACCCTATGGGAGGGCTGTGGCTGGGTTATCAACCTTGCGCTTACAGCAGGGCCATAGTGGGGCCCATGGCAGGGCTTTAGGGCCCCTGTGAATTCTCTGGAGTTCTGTGCAAAATTAGGGAGGAGCATGTGTATTGGGCTTCTCCTGGTGAGAGGGACCATAGCTCTCTTCAGATTTTCTAAGGGGTCCCGGATTCACACAGGTTAAAGAACCTTGACTGAGCAAGAAATGAGAGATAATCCTTGACGCTGTCATTTCAGTATGACTCTTCACAGAGTCACTGATATTTCCTCATCCGCAGGCCACATATCTTATGCCAGTGTGTTATCAGGATAAAGTAGGAAAAAAAAGTTTTGTAATAATGTTTTTCTAAAATCCAAGCAGTAAACAACTTGGACAAATTACATTTCAAATGTGGGTCTAGATGATAATTTAACAGGCCCTGTCATATAAGACAGGCCCATGACTAGAGGGCAGGCTGCCCTCAAAATCAGAGGAGTTCATTTCTCAACATCTTTAAAATTCTTTTACGAAAAACTATGTGTCCTCCATAAAGTACTAAATATTGTCATTAAAACCCACTGACACCTGAGCTGACATGTCACTGGGAAGAAGGCACTTGCCTAGGACGAACTCCTCAGCTAA